CTCGTACCGCGGGCTCGAAGGAGACGAGCGGCCCACAGGGCCGTTACAAATCAACCTGAACGTGTGTGCTCCCAGGCGCTGTCCCTACTGGCTTCCTACCTAAAAAGTGTTTCGGCATGATTTTGGTATGCCCCGGATTAGGGCAGACACTATCTAGTTTATGTTAGCGTGGTACATCACGTTCCGGGATTCAGCACAACAGGGCTTCCCACACACTGCAAATACCCAACAAGGCCATAACAGAACAGCCTGTGCTGCTCGGCTGGGTTGGGATGTCCAAAGGCAGACAGGGCAGCTCCTGAGCTCTGCCACACTCTGCTCTGCACAGTCCCACGCAGGCAGTGTGGCTCTCTCCCCTGCCCTCCCCGGCCGGCTACCGCACGGCCTCTGTGGCTGCACCGTCCAGGCTGAGTAGCACAGAGCCAGTCCTGGAGCCATGCGCTTGCACTGGTGTTTAGCAGTGGTGGCACAGCTGGAGGCTGATGCCCGCCTTCCTCCTTCCCCCTTGCGATGCTCTGCTGGACTGTGCAGATACTGGAAGGGTTTGGAAGTGATGGGACAGAGCATGAATAAATGAGGGAAAAGAAGATGAGGTAGCAGTCGGAAGGAGTAGCTGAAAAGAAGGTGGAAGCAGAAAACTGAGGTAATAGAAATGGGATAGGGAATAGCTTTCTTTCCTCTCCTGCTCTGCCTCCCGATGCCAAGGTCTTCTACATCCTCTTTTTATCTCTCTGGAGAAAGTTCCAGCCTTTCCTCATTGACTTTTCTCAGTAACAAGTTAAAAATTTGAAGTATCTCAACACTGTTTCCACCTATGACATTTCTATTCACATTTACATTCCTTCGGGCACAGTCAGAAGTTAGTGTTTTCTCCTGAAGCCACGGAAGCTGCCGCTGCTCCAAGAAGTGTAAGGCTAAAGCAGGAAAAATGCAGGGTGAGGGTGGCCTCTTCCTCCCTGGTGAGGATATCTCTCTGGTTACACCATTTGGGAAACCCTCGCAGTTAATATTTAGCCAGCACACTAACAGAAGTGCTGGAAACTGAAAAATTCACCATAGTTTTGTGTTGATTCCAATGAGATTTGATATTTGTACATGCAGATTAACAGCTTGGCTGCCAAATCTCTGTCTATGTGATATATGAACATCATTATCCTATTTTCTGGAGATAAAGAACGATGCACAGAAATGAAGGGCTATATTGTGAGAAGTGGTTTATGGAGTTTGCAGTATATTATGTGTATGTGCCTAGAGGTGTCTACCTCTAGGCACCCAAGCTTGGAAAAAGAAAAACAAACAAAACTTGAGCAAGAAAATTTAAGAAAGGTTAGAAATGAGTCAAAGGTCACAGAAGAAATCAATGTTGAGAAGTGGCTTGGTCCCTTTTCCTGTCCCCTTGGTTGTGCTGCCTGTTGAGCTACTAAACTGTCCTTCCTGGTGTCCAGAAGTTGCACAGGCTGCTCAGAAGAAGAGCTGGCTCAGCCACCTGCAGCCAGCTGGCTGGGAGTTCGCAGCAGCCCTAGTGCTATTCATGGCTGCTCATATGTCACTGCTCCCTACAAACATAAAATTGATCTAAAGTCTTCCCAAAATATCAGAGATCTCCTTCTATCTTTCCTTGACCAAAACAGCCAGCATTATATAGCCAGAAACAATCTGTGTTCTGTACTAAACAAAAAGTCACTGACAAGCTTTCCAAAGCTGCCGCTGCTCCAAGAAGTGTAAGGCTAAAGCAGGAAAAATGCAGGGTGAGGGTGGCCTCTTCCTCCCTGGTGAGGATATCTCTCTGGTTACACCATTTGGGAAACCCTCGCAGTTAATATTTAGCCAGCACACTAACAGAAGTGCTGGAAACTGAAAAATTCACCATAGTTTTGTGTTGATTCCAATGAGATTTGATATTTGTACATGCAGATTAACAGCTTGGCTGCCAAATCTCTGTCTATGTGATATATGAACATCATTATCCTATTTTCTGGAGATAAAGAACGATGCACAGAAATGAAGGGCTATATTGTGAGAAGTGGTTTATGGAGTTTGCAGTATATTATGTGTATGTGCCTAGAGGTGTCTACCTCTAGGCACCCAAGCTTGGAAAAAGAAAAACAAACAAAACTTGAGCAAGAAAATTTAAGAAAGGTTAGAAATGAGTCAAAGGTCACAGAAGAAATCAATGTTGAGAAGTGGCTTGGTCCCTTTTCCTGTCCCCTTGGTTGTGCTGCCTGTTGAGCTACTAAACTGTCCTTCCTGGTGTCCAGAAGTTGCACAGGCTGCTCAGAAGAAGAGCTGGCTCAGCCACCTGCAGCCAGCTGGCTGGGAGTTCGCAGCAGCCCTAGTGCTATTCATGGCTGCTCATATGTCACTGCTCCCTACAAACATAAAATTGATCTAAAGTCTTCCCAAAATATCAGAGATCTCCTTCTATCTTTCCTTGACCAAAACAGCCAGCATTATATAGCCAGAAACAATCTGTGTTCTGTACTAAACAAAAAGTCACTGACAAGCTTTCCACCCCAATAATTGGTTTATATACCTCCCTCAAGCTAGCATGTAGCTCTCTACTTTTTAAATGAAAGTAAAACTTCTTAACCGCTCATCATCATTCAGAGGTCAGGGATTGTGGCTACAGAACAAAAGGGGATGATTCTGACGGTAGTATATGATTTAAGGTTTACTGGAGTTAGAACAGGAGCAGAAACTGCATATCTCTACTGAGAAGACTAACATTCACCTTATATACCTGGTAATATGTTTGGAGCCCTGCCTATTTGAGCCTGTCTGGTAACACGCTTTGAGCAGGTCCCCAAAACAAGGCAAGCCTGCAGGGGAATAGCTGAGCAAGGGCAAGAGTTTGTTCAGAATACCTCTTCATGCAAACTCAAAGTTATGGAAAGATTAGCCTTTAGAAATAAGAGTTGACCTAATGTGAATAAACAGAGCAAGTCTTTTCTTCTCTGGTGAAATATGTATAACAACATTAAAGAGCCTAAAATATATACTTAGACCTATTTAGCCTAAGTATAAATTATCCTTTTCAAGACTTTAATTAATCTGTAAATGGTCTATCATTAAGTGACACGCAACTAGGTGTAAGCATTTTGTCACAGTAGGAAGATTCATGAGCAAAAATAAATTTCATACTTTATTTTGTACAATGTGCAAGTGATCAAATCAAAAAAAGACCTCAAAAAAAGAAGAAAACATCTCCTCAAGTGCTCCCATCTCTTTTTGGATCATGGAATAAGAAGAATTTACTTGAAAGGGGATAACACATGTTAAAGATGGGGAGACCTGTTACGAAGATGGGAAGAAAATGTCATCTATATAGTCCTTTCAGGTCAAGAGAAATGAAGAATCAACAGGTGATATTTGGTCAGCTCCTTCCGCAAGAATTTCAGGTTCCCATGTGGGGGAAAAAGAGAAAGCACCAGTGATATATTGTGGTTACTCAGTCACTACCAAGAAGACTTCTGATCGCAGGTTTCAGGAGAGAGGCCCCTTTCTTGCAGTGAATACAGCATATTACCAAGAGTTCCTGTCATCTGGGTCAGAGAAAAGCAGTCCCTACTTAGAGACTCCATTTGGGAGGCCAGGGTGATGGTGGTGGAGGAGACCCAAATACCAGCTAACCTATTTCGTGGGGAGGTGGTGACAGAGGACTCCATTTTATGCAAGAAAAATTAACTAAAACCTTGTTCTGGAAGTCCTTTGAAAATAGAGAGACAGTTTTCCCCAGCTGTCAAAGCACACCTACCGTACAGCCAGCTTGCATATTAGTCAGTAAGACTGAGCACAGAATATCCCCCTCAGCCTGAAGTTTCTGTGTGCATTGGTTACAACAGTAAGTTAGACAAGATTAACTGTTTACATGTAACTGTGAACTCGTGTGTCTTCTAAAATATAGAGTGTGTAATTCCCATATAGTCTAGAAAGTGAAAGATCTGTAGCTATCATTTAATGATTAAGGGTGAGCTTTGCCTGGCAGAATAAGACACCTACGTTTAGATGTCTACCTGTGACATTTATATTCCATGGAGATCTTGAAACTGCTGCTGAAACTTAGATATCTAAAGCCATTTGAGACTCCCTAGGATATCTTGCTGCATAAGGCATGGCAGCTATGATACTAAACCTGTCAGAGACCCAAGCCCTTCTGTAGCTGCAGGCGGAGGCCATGGAGTGTATCCTGGAGCATCTCAAACGAGAGATGCATGGGCGATTGAACAGTCTCTACATCCCTATTGATTACAATGGAGCCTAGATACTCAGCTCGCAGGTTGACAATTACGTGCAGATTCTTAAGTTTAGGTGTCTTATCCACAAGTTGGATCACTAACTGCGTGTTTACAGCTGTAGGCTATTGTCAGAGCCTCTAAGAGGCAGCTAGGTCTGAAATCCTCCTCTTCCTCTTCTATGCTGGGAGTAGTGTCTGGAGCTGTAGATTAGGCTCAATTCTTCATCATATTTGTTGATTGATTTTTGGACTATTCCATGGAAGAAACATCAGAAAGAAGTACAAGTGTATCAATAGCAAT